CTGCCGGGACATGAACCTGCACCCTTATGGGATCCCAGCACATGCAAGGCAAGGATTTAGCAACTGAGCCATTGTGTTAGACCCCTCTCTCCACCTTCCAAACAAAATTTTTAGAATGTGGCAAGCTAGTTTTTTCTTGCCCAAACCTACTCTGTCTTCTGATTTCCTATAACCCTACTCACTCCTAACTCACTTCTTTGACAAACACGGCGTCCTTTGTCACCTTTGCATTCAGCACCCACCCCGTTCTGCCTCTCGGAGCACTGCGATCTCCTGGATCCCTCCCCACCTGGATCTTAGCTCCTACCGCTCTCAGCCTCCTCCACTCTGGCTTGCACCAGCATATAACTATCCGGGCCAGTCCCCCGGTCTCCACTCACTTTTTCACTCACCTATTCATAACCTTATGTCACCTCCAGCACTTCACCCTCCTCCTCCCCAGCAACCCAGGGTTAGTACAAGTGGTTGAGTCTAGGGATTCTGACCTGCGGTTGAAAGGATGATACGCCCCCCCATGATGCAGTAACTAACAAGCACTCGGACTCTGGCGCCCAACTGCCTCGGAAGTCTTTCCAGTCTCACTTCCTACTTTGTGCTTCGGCCAGAATACCCACCTGCATTTCGCCTACGGTCAGGGTCGGCTGTCACCTCACTCACTTTTTTAGTGACAACCTTGCTCTCCCAGAAAACCGCCCTCTCCTCACACCTACAGTTCTTATTATCTGTTCTAGACTATTACGTGCGTGCCTTCAAAACAACCTTCTCTGAGGAAGCACAACTTTACCAAGGACAAGGCACTGCTTCACTTTTGAACCTCCAAAGTGTCACAGTGCGACTGGCTCAATAAAAGGTGAACGACATTCCATCTTACAGAAATAAATGCTACCCTGAGCCAGGGTTTCGGCAAAGCACCCAGAGCCGGGAAGACGCTGGACTCTTAATAGGAGAACCGAGGCGAGGCCAGGTGAGCCGCCGGTGCGTGCTCCGGGGGCCAGGGCGCATGCGCAGGGCTCGCGGCCGACCGAGCACGCGCACTCCGGGCGCCAGGGCGCATGCGCGGGGCTCGCGGCGGGGCGCGCGCCCGCGGCCGCCCCTCCCCCGCCGCTCGCCGCGCTCGCGGGGCACCGGTGGCGGCGCCGGGGCAGCGGCGGCCGCAGGGCTGTGTGTCTGTGAACCTGTGGTAGCCATGGACTCCCCGTGGGACGAGCTGACGCTGGCCTTCTCCCGCACGTCTATGTTCCCCTTTTTTGACATCGCCCACTATCTAGTGTCCTTGATGGCTATGAAGCGGCAGCCGGGTGAGTGCGCGGTCCCGCGGCCGGGCCCTCTCGACGTCCCCCCCTGACCAGGGGCCGGCCGGTGGCTACGAAGTTCTGCTGGCGTTCGACCTCTGGAGGACAGACAGGGAAACTGAGGCCGGGGAGGGTCGGCGATGCGTGATGGGGCCTCCGGGTGCTCGCCGTCTCTGGCGCCGTCTCCTGGCGGTACCTCTGCTTCCTCGGGCCGTATTTGTTTGACTTGAGAGGTGAAGAGTCAAACAAGAGAGTAGTTTGACTTCTCTTCGCTCCCCGTCGTGGCACCGCTTGCATTTTCCATCCAGGCCGTGTTGTTCCGTCATCGCCTTACTGTTGGAGTGCCGTGACTTTGGTTTTGGTTGTGTGTCTCTGTTGCCGTCCAGGTCAGGCACAGCTTTTCATCGCCCACGTCCTGCTGGACGAGGGAGGGCTTGGGTGATGCTGTGCCTCGCTTAGGAACCTTTGCTTTTTTTGGTTGGTTTGTTTGTTTTACGCCCTTGGATCTCAAAGTGTTTTCAATCTATATTGAAGTTTGTAACTTAGTCCGAATCATTAGTTGCTGGAAGATTCGACTTGGATAAAGAAAATGTTATTGTATTGAAGTAGGAGGGAGAATCTTAAGATGCTGTTTCATGGGAAAGAATTACATTGTGTTTTATCTTCATCTTCAGTCTTTGGTGTTTTCTTTAAAAATGACTTTCATAGCGCTATCCCGATGTTATCTTTTTCACTGCCATTCTCAAGCCTGCAGTGGCATTTCCCAGAGGCCACATGACTTGTGGTAATGGAACATTTTGAAGCAGATGTGAGAATCCAGCAGCCTGTTTTCTGTTTCAAACCAGACATTGAGCAGATCTGCTGTGATATATACCAGTGTATCTTGCCTCATTAAGTTTTGTCTGCTTTGGAAAATGCAATCTATTTTCCACAAAGAATATTATTTGAGTTACCATTTGGCGTATTTATCTTTTAAAATGAGTAAAGAGGTAGTTTTGCATTTTGTGTAATGATTATTAACATGTTAAGTATTGATATTTGTACGCCTTAGAAGTTTTTTGTAGGCCTCAATTTCTTTTTAGTTACATGTTTTTGATGTGTAATCATCATGCAGTGTATTCATTATTTGAGTACAGAGTTCGTGTTTCTGGACGGATACATATGGTGACGCAGCCACCATTTCAGTTGAGAATTGAACATACCTCCAGCACCAGATTCCCTCCTGCTTCCTCCAGTTCTCTTTCAGCTTCTGGCAACTGTTCCTCTTAGTAATTTTTTTAAAAGATATATTTATGTTTTATTAGAAAGTCAAATATACAGAGAGAAGGAGATACAGAGAGAAAAATCTTCCGTCCTCTGGTTCATTCCCCAAGTAACCCCAATGGCTGGAGCTGAGCCGACCCAAAGCCAGGAGCCAGGAAGCTCTTCCAGGTCTCCCGTGTGGGTGCAGGTCCCAAGGCTTTGGGCTGTCTTCTGCTGCTCTCCCAGACCACAAGCAGGGAGCTGAATGGGAAGTTGAGCAGCTGGGATATGAACTGGTGCTCATTTGGGATTCTGGGGGCACATGCAAGGCGAGGACTTTAGCCACTAGACCATTGTGCTGGGCCTGGTCCCATCTTAGCAATTTTAAAGAACGTAGAGGGGTCCTGTGACCCCTCCCTCCCCCACCAAATTTGAGAACCAGTGGGATAATTGAGAAAATTGCTATACATGGTATAAAAATATTTTTTCTAGTACCAATACTTTTTTCTTTTTAAATAATGTTTATTTATTTGAAAGGTCAAGTAACAGGGAGGGAAAGAGATGGAGATCTTCCTTCCACTGATTCATTTCCCGAGTTGCTGCAGTAGTCATGGCGGGGCCAGGTGGAAGCCGGGAGCCAGGAGCTTCGTCTTGGTCTTTCATGTGGATTTAGGAACCAAAGCAATTTGGCCTGCCTTTGCTACTTTCCCTGGTAGCTGGATTGGAGGTGGAGCAGCTGGGACTTAACTGAGCCCATATGGGATGCTGGTGCCACAGGTGATAGCTTAACGCACTATGCCACAGCACTGGCCCCAACCTGTGCTTGTAAATATCTAATTCACACAACTTACTATTTAAGTTTTAATTGGAGTATATTACACTATTAATTTCCTTTGGGAGTGTTGGCTATCATAAGTTTCAATAGCTTGTCACTTTGATGATCAGAAAACAGTTCTTATTTGCGTTTGTCATGGTTACTAAGGAATTTATATTTCTTAGGTTTCATTGGCCGTTTGTACTTTGTTTCTGTAGATTGCCGAGTATCTTTTGTTCATTGTCCCGTTGGGCTGTAGGTCCATCTTGAATTCCAGCTGTACTTGGAGTCACTATCTGTTGATGCCTCAAACTGTGCACAGCTATTTGCCAAGATCCATCTGCTTTAGATGTAAACTAAGTGAAGCAAGTTCAATGTCATTTTATGGTTACCATCGTTTGAAGTTTTGGATCATGGCAGCACTTTTCTGTGGTACTGTTCTACTGTTTACCGTGTTGGTGAGGAGAGGAATCTCTTGGAGTTTTTACCTGATTTTTCTTTTTTTTTTTTTTTTTTTTTTTACTATAGAATTCCTTCTTTATTATGAGTAGTTTTTTTTGATGGGATTCATTTTTGTGGAAGCAGGTACAAGAGCAAGTTAAGACAAATACTGCCTGTCATCCCTTACATCAGGTGAATAGGTGAAAGATAGTTCAGACACAAGGCAACCAGGAGGCATTTGTCCAGGACTGATTTTTCCTTCATCATGATACTTAGCCTGTAGGTCTGAGAATCATTGTGGGTATTGCGCTGTTTGTTAGCTGTGTCTGTTCTAGTCATGCATTAAAGAACCAAGAAAATGAACCACTGTGTGTGTGTGTGTGTGTGTATGTGTGGCCAGCTATATAATTCAGACTTTATCTAAAAATCTTTGGATTATGTTGTAATAATCTCTAAGCCTCTTAGCTACATGATTGCTTTATAATAATTTTGACGAAAAATATACTTGATAATATTGTTTATTTCTCTATTATAAAGAAATACTAAAAAAAATACTAAAAAGCAATTTAAAAATACTTCACACCTGGCATTGGGGTTTTAAGAAGGTTAGAACATTTCTGTACTTCATTCCGGAAGTCACATCTGTCACTAGCAGGCTGAATGTTAAGTGTTTTGAAAATAGGTACACTGCAACTAGTTCTCAAAAATAGGGACTCACAGGGGCTGGGGTTGCTGCTACTCAGCTGCCAGCAGCCATACTGGAGCATCTCCTGGCTGCTCTGCTTCCAATCCGGCATTCCTGCTAATGTACCTGGAAAATCAGCCAATGGTGGTCAAGTTACGTGGGTCCTTCCATCCACATGGGAGACCAAGATGGTGGTCCTGGCTCCTGGCTGCAGCCTGGCCCAGACCTCGCTGTTGCAGTCATTTGGGCAGTGAGCCATTGCATTGAATCTCTGTTTCTGCCTTTAAAATCTTTCAGTCGCTTCCCACTCCCAAATAGGGACACACTGTCCAACTGAAATAGTACAATGAAAGTAATGTTTGCGGTATATTTAAAAGTTTTTCTAAGCTTTGCTATAACTAAAGAAATTAAAGCATTTTAAACACTAATGATTTATTTTGGCAGGAGTGTAGTGCTACTTGGTGCTTGTGATTTTCAGTGAATTTATCAGAGTAGTTTTAGCTCTCATTTCTTAATCAAATCATTTTGATACGAAATTTCCTATATGACTATTTGTATTTAAATACCTTGGCATTAAAATCAGGTGACATTTGATTACTTTTGATGAGAATTGTGAGGAATATTCTATTGATAGCATTTGTTGTAATTTAAGGTAGGACAGAAACATTTTATTCTTTTTGCTAAATGTGTGTTAAAAACAAAAACAGTTTGAGTTACAGAAAATGTTCTTGTTGGTGTGATTTTGAAGCTTGGGCAGATGTGACTGATGTGAAGGAGACAACGTTCTCCCTCCCGAATTTGTTTTTTTTCTGACTCTTTAATTTTTTGTCTAATGAACTCTTTGTTTCATTGATTTAGGACCATCAAGGTCATGGGTGTGCCTTCGCCATCACGTCCATTGTTCTCATGTCAGCCTTGCAGTAATTCAGGAGAGTGTGTTTGAGTTTGGAGAACTGAGTCAGAAATAGCCCAGGGGTTTCATGTGACCCTCTGCTCTGTGCTATCGATGATCAGATAGCAGTCAGCAGGGTGTGTGCTCCTTACTGGACGGAAAATATGTTTATGTGTATTCTCTCCATTGAAATCCTTAGAAAGGTATGCATTGTTTCCATTTTACGGAAGGTAAAATTGAAACCACGAGAAGTTAAGAGGTCTTAACCACAGGTTTCAAAACTAATAAGCAATCGCAACTTCCTGACTTAAGTTGTAGGTAAGGGAAATTAATGGTGGTAAAATTTTAATGTTTAACTTTTTGGAAATCTTTCACATATTTTACCCTGTCATGATAAGTGTTCATGGAGCACTTACTCTAGACTGAGTCTTTGTTGGACTGTCAAGGATTAACAATTTTTTTGGTTAGAGATAAGACTTATGAGTGAAATTTAGACGCTTTTATGTCTTAAGAGGAATGAATAAAATAATCAAAAGTTGATTAAAAAAAAAGAAAGTTATTTTGACAGACTTATCCAGGAATGAGCATTATGAGAGTGCATACTGTGTGTGAGGAGAATTTGTTGAATTTGAGTTGGATTGTTCTGATGGTGAAACCTGAGTGTGTGTGGATTTGGCTTAGCCCTTGAGTGGTGTCAAGTCTTCTGTTAGAACAGTTACTAGGAAACACGGACGATGGATACACCAGCTATTAATCTCTAACTTTATATGAGGTAGACTTTAAGTTCAGGAAAAAAACAGAATTAAAAGGTCATGCAAATTTCCCAGGAGCATTTGAAGCCCCCTCATATTTGCTGGAGATCACAGCACTGTGGGTTCCTGTTTACGTAGTGACCCCTGGGCTGTGATGGGTCTATTATAGCTTACTTTAAGTCACAACTTCTCTCTATCAAGCACATGTCTGTGGAGGTGACCAGGCCTGAAACAGAGCGGGGGTGGGGAAAGAAAAATAGCCGACAGATGGGAGGTGGAGGAGGAGACAGGCTATGTGTGAGTAAGCATAGGAAAAGACTAAAAGTACTCGGAGGAAGAGTGTGAATGGTAGGGGTAAAGAAGGTTGGGTCGCTTGGTCCTCCACCCTCCTCCCCTACATGTACTTCTCCGGTAATAATGCTGGCCAGTACTTGCTCTTGCTATCTAACAAGCCCCATTCTGAGTGCTGTAAATGTTATTTGTAGTTGATCCTTAAAACAACTCCATGAATTGGGTTGTTTTCTTCCTTTTCCTTTTATTGGCAAGACTGGGACAAGAACATCTTGATTTTAAGGGAAAATAGACAATTTACTTTTTGAGTTTACCTGAAAATATTGAAGCCAGGATCAATGTCTGAGCACTCTAGACTCCTTATTTTTAAACACTATGTATATCTTTCAACTGAGAATGGCTCAGTGTAGCATTATTCATTGTTCAGCTAGTGCTCATTGACTGAAAGAAAAAAGATTGTACTCACTGGGGTTGGTGTTGTAGCATAGTGGGCTAACCTGCTAACTACTTACTGTGTTGGCATCCCTAATGGGCAGTGGTTTGGGTCCTGGCTACACCTCTTCTAACCCATGCTAATGTGCCTGGGAAAGCAGAGGACAGCTCAGGCACTTGGACCCCTGCACTCATGTGGGAGACCTGCAGGGAGCCCCTGGTTCTTAGCTTTGGCCTGGCACATCCTTGGGTGTTCCAGCCGTTTGGAAACCTTTGTCTTCCACCCTCTCTCCATAGCTGCCCTTCAAAGAAGTAACATAACTCTTTTAAGTAAATTATGCCCACTTATTGTACTGGCTAGTGTAATAATCAGTTACACTGTAAGGGATGGGCCCATATATATGTGTGTGTGTGTGTATTGGGGGCATGGGGCGTCATATCTTGCATTGGAATTTTGCACCAAGTACAGAATGACCATGTATAATTGAAAAATCTGTTGAAGATTCTTAGGCCCAGGCAAAGGTGCTGCATTGGAGATTGGCATCTTGTTTTTTTTTTTTTTTTCAATTTTTTTTTTTTTTAATTTTAACAATCTTTACATGGTTAATTTGTGCATAAAGGGTCAAGGGCTACAGGAAAGTGGGTAAGACTGTTATTTCCATATTGTTTCCTTCATATATCTGAGGTAGAGGGGGATATTGAGGGAGGCATCTTGTTTTTTAAGCAAATTTCTCATAGCTGGATTTTCCTTTAGATTGTAGTGGATCTACCACCAGATACGTATCATTGCACTTTGGTGGCCAATGTGCTTGTCAGGATGTATGCAATACAGAACTCACCTTGTTAAACACATTCACTTCTGGGTGTATTCTATTTTGTGGAATGTCCCCCCCATTCAAATGTTTCCCCTCCCCCCTTTTTTTCTGAACACATATGGATGAATCCTTACATTAAATACAAGCTCACTAATTTTATTTTTTTATTCTTATACACAGTGACAAAAATGAAAACTTTATTTTTATTTAATAAGCAGAGAGAAAGAGAGCAAGACAAACCAAAAAAAAAAAAAAAAAACCAAAAAACCAAAAAAAGATCTTTTGTCTGCTGGTTCACTCCCCAAGTGTCTGTAACAGCGAAGACTGGGCCAGGACAAAGCTAGGAGCCGAGAGTTCAGTCTGAATGATAGCGGTCCATTTCCTTCAGCCATCGCCATTTCCTTCCTGGGTGCGCATTAGCAGGAAGCTGAGCCAGGACTTGCACAGAGCTGCTCTGGTATGGCTCAGTGACCTCTCAACTGCTGTGCCGAAGTCTGGCCCTCCGGTCTCCGTTGGTGGTGGTGGTGGTTGGTTTTGACATGAATGGGCCCCTCTCTGGAAGGAGCAGTAGCAGGCAGTTTGGTTGTTCTTGTGGACCTTACTCTATGCATTCTGAAATGTGTGTGTGCATAAAGAAAGACTTTATTTTGTTTTCTCCTTGTGAAAAACTTCATAGTATATATCAATTACATGTATGATTCTCTTTATCATACAATATGCAAAACTGCTATATTCTTTTCTGTTGTTGCATTGTGTTCTTAGATTGGTTGTGGCGTAATTTGCTAAAATTTTATTAATTATGTTATTAATAATGAACATTTTATTTTGAAGAATTCAATTATAATTGCATAGTACAATCAAATACATCTAGAGTCAGTTTATCATCTTTTTAATCCCAGACTTCTCTTGAGAGCTAACAATGGTTGACAGTTTGTTGCTGTTCTAAGTCCTTCTCTGTGCACTCCATGTTTAGACCAAGTTTTTTCTTTACTGTTTTAGGAGCAACAGAGGTGGCATGGAAGAATCCAATTTCAAGCTGGTTTACTGCTATGCTTCACTGCTTTGGTGGGGGAATTTTATCCTGTATTCTGCTTGCAGAGCCTCCATTGCGGTTTCTTGCAAACCACACTAATATTTTGCTGGCCTCTTCAATCTGGTAAGCTGCCATTATGGTGAATTCTGAGACTGTTTAAAACTTGCTTTATTAGTTGTTGAAAAAATGAAATTCTGGCTTGTTTTTTGAAAAATTGTGTGCATACAAGGAAGGAGTCTAAATAGTAAGTAAGGCTTTGAGTGCAAAGTGTTATCTCGTTCTGGCTCTTCTCCTCTGACCTCTCCCAGAGGCAATTATTGTTGTTGTCTCATGTATCTTTGATGGAAGCATTTGAAATATGAAAGGACGTGAAACTTTTGGCCTCAAACAGTTTATCTTGTGAATGTATGTCATACACACAGATATAAAAGGCAATAAAAATCATATGGCCAACTAAATAAAAGTCCCAGGGATTATGGCTCATGTGTGATTATTTTTGTCATTTGGTAGGTAGAATTTTCTTAGAGCCTTATATGATTTTTACACAAATTTAAACATTAATTTTGTAGTTTTGAAGGAAAGAAATGTTACTAAGAATAGCTTTGAATTCTTGCAAACTCAAACTTAATTTTTTAAAACAAAATTTATTTTAATTCATTTATTGGAAAGGCAGAATGACAGAGAGAGAGAGGTGACAGAAGGCTCTTTCATCCACTGGTTCACATCCCAGATGGCAGTGCCATCCAGGTTCTTGTGTATCGATTAATTTATTGTTCTTCATTGCACTTGAAAATCAATTTTACTGGATATGGGATCATAACCTACATTTTCCATCTTAATATATTTTGACTATATTATTCCATTTTCTTTTGACTAAAAGCATTGTTGTGAAAAAATATTGATCTTTTAATGTTCTGTCTGTATAATTTACATGCTGTTTTTCCTAGATGACCGAAGTATTTTTATTTTTCATTCAAGCCTAAGTAAGTAAATTATGTCTTGTTTGGTCAGCTAGGTCAATATCCTCAGGTATGTGGAGTGTTTTTGTTACATACCAATCTTTTTTAGTTGGGAAGGTTATTTTAGTATTTGTGTGTTTTCCCTGCTTGATTTTCTTCAGGATTTCTGTTGTTGGTATACTGGATTTTCTTCAGTAAGTTTTTATCTTAAAAATGTTGTTGATTTATTTGAAGGGCATCAAGAGAGAAGGGCACAGAGAGAGAGAGAGAGAGAGAGAGAGAGAGAGATCTTTTCTCTACTGGTTACTCCTCAAATACCTGCAACAGCTGGGTCTGGCTGAGGCAGAAGTCAGGAGCCCCAGTAAATCCTGTTCCCACAAGAGTAGCTGAAACCCAATCACTTTTTTTTTTTTTAAAGTCTACTTACTTAAACTTAGAAAAGCAGAGTTACAGAGAGAGAGAGGGAAGGATGGAGACAGATTAAGAGACAGAGAGAGGGGATGGCGAGAGAAGGAGGTGGAGATATGGCTTGCATCCACTTACTTCCCAAATGACCACAGTGGCTGGATCAGGACAGTTCAAAGCCAGGAGTCAGGAGTGCCTGTTAGGTCTCCTGTTTGGGTACAAGGACCCAAGTACTTGGGCAGTTCTTCATGCTTTCCCAGGTGCATTAGCAGGAAACTGAATCACAAGTGGAGCAACTGACACTTAAACCGGGCCCCTATGGAATGTCAGCATCGTAGCTGTGGCTTTACTACCTGCTATGCCATAATACTGCCCCCTCGACCTTTTTTTTTTTTTTTTAATGATTTGTTTGAAAGGCAAAGAGACAGATATCTTCAATTTGCAAGTTTACTCCTTAAATGGCTATAAAGCCAGGACTGGGCTAGATGAAAGTCAGTACTACGTTGTTCTCCCACATGGGAGACAGTGAGCCAAGCACGTGGGCCATCTGCTGCCTTCCAAGGTGCACTGGTGGGATGCTAGATCAGCAGTGGAGTAGCCAGGATTTTCAGTGCCGTTCTGGTATAGGAAACTGGCACTGCAAGTAGTGGCTTACCTTATCTCACCACGATACTGGCCCTGGGACCTAATTAACCAGTGAGCTGTCTGCTTCCTCCCAGTATGTGCATTAGCAGGAATCTAGAAATGGAAGAGGAGCTGACATTCACTGAGTCTCTCAGCTAGAGGATTGGGGCATCCCGTGTGATGTCTTCACCACTGTACCAGTTTTCTGCCCTGTGTTTTGTTTTTATGCAAGTATTTTTTCCGTTTTTGCCTTCTGTCTTAGGAACTATTATCTGAGAGAGAGATCTATAATCTGTTGTCTTTGTGTTTTTTTGATTTGGTTTTCATTTCTGAAAGAACATTGTGTTTCCTTTTCTGTTTTTTTCCCAAGTGTTGCATTTTTAGCTTTCAGTTTTTGTAATTGTGGTTTTAACTGTACTTTTATGTCATATATCACTTTAAAAATGTCTTTAGCTTGTTTTGAAATAGTGTTTTACAATTTTCATCTGTTTTGTGGGCACGTTTTCCTAAGCAGTTTCATTGTAGGGATTTACTCTGCCTTTCCCCGCCCCTCCCCCTTAAATAAGTTTATATGGATTTGACCTTCATAGTTTCTGTTGGTCATTTCTGTGTGAAATTGGTTTCTTGAACTTTCGAAAAGAAGATGGAATTCAGGAAAGATTTTTGACTTCACAGAGCTTCCACTTCTGTTCTTATGAAGTGCTTCAAAAGATAATGACCTGCTGGGATTTCCTGGGTCTTTTTCCTTTCCTCCATTTGATCCGGACCTTTGTTTTTTTGACTTTTGTTCTGTTCCTGCTTAGTTTTGATTCCACTCCAGCAGTTTCTTCTCAGTGTGGGGCTGGTTTTAGAAGAGAGTCCTAGTGGATCCATTTGAAAGCTCATAGGGACTAAATCATTGCAGTTCTTTCAGATCTTATCCTGTGCCCTTTGTCGTATTTGGTACTGGAGATGTCAGAACCCCTCCTAATTTCAGCTGTTTTTTGTCATTGTTTTGCTTTGCTTTTGGTTTTCACGTTAGCCTGCTGTGCTTCCTAGCCAATGCCATGACCTGTTTTGAAGTTACTTTATTCTTAAGTCCATCAGTTGCCATCTTGTTGCTTTCTTTCTGCCACACAGTACAGGTTTTCTGAGTGTTTCTGAGTGTTTCTGAGTGTTACTGAGTTGTGAAGCTCTGGGTTTTGAAATTTGAGGAATTGCAGTGATGGGATTTGGTTTTGCTTTCTAGATGTGCTTTTATATTTATTTATTTTCATTGGAAAGTCAGATACACAGAGAGAACAAGATACAGAGAGAAAGATCTTCCATCTGCTGATTCATTTCCCAAGAAGCTGCAGTGGTGGGAGCTGAGTTGATCCAAAGCCAAGAGTCAGGAACCTCTTCCAATTCTCTCATGTGGGTTCAGGGTCCCAAGGCTTTGGGTCATCCTTGACTGCTTTCCTAGACCACAAACAGGGAGCTTGATGGGAAATGGAATGACCAGGATATGAACTAGTGCCCATATGGGAAGCTGGGACTTGAAAGTGGAAGGTCAGTCAATTGAGCCATTGTGCCAGCCCCCAAAATTCTTTATAATGTTTGTTGATTGTCCTTGTCTACCTCAATGTGCCACAGACCTAGTGGTTGTTGTAGAGCTTAAACTCTGTTGTTCAAACTATACTGCTTTCCATCTTTTGATGAGATACTACTTGATGTCTTCTGTTGGCTTACATGAGTTGGCTGTCTTTTGGGTTCATCTTCATATGCTCTCCATTCTTGCATGAGCATCAGCAACTGAGGTGGTGAGGTGGCCCATTCCTGTAACATGTGCTCCAAAATTGGACTGCATGTCTGTGATTTTCCCTGAGGTTAGGGATTGAGCACAGTGGTCTAGTTGGGGAGCCCCTAAATAACCTCACCTGGGAGAGCTTCAGACCCCATGAGTGCCAGCTGGTATAGGGTTTGGTTCAGTCTGCCCTCTGCACCAGCCATCACATGTACCAGTGGGTGCAGCTGCCTGGTCAGTTACATCCCAGCTCTGACTCTTAACTTGAACTAATGGGTGCTACAGCCTAGCCCAGCCCAGCCCATTCTCAGGCCTGGCTCTTGCATGCATTGACAGATACTGCAGACTAACATGGTCCTCCCAAAGGATCCTCTACTAGGCTCACCCCCAGCCCCAGTTCTTGTGGGTGTTGCAACCCAGCCTGTCCTGGCTTGCCTCCATCCTCAGGTTTTCCGTGTGCTAGTGGGTGCTATGGCCCAGCCCAGTGTGGCCCTCCCCCAGCCCTGACACTCACCAATGGGTGCTGGCCTAGTTGGGGCAATTTCCAAGGACCTCCACCAAGTTGCCCCCAGACATGGCTCTAATGAGCACTGGTGGGTACTGAACCCTAACCTAGCCTCAGGTTCTAAGTGCCTTACATATATTGTTTCACTTAAGCCTCACAGGAACCCTATGAGGTAGTTATATTTCATCCTTATTTAACAAACTATGTACCAGAAGAATGGGAGAGAATCATAGATGTTGAATAGTTGAAGGATGGATTCAACTCTAAGGTATCTGGTCCTTTTGTCAGTGCTTATACAGTGTATTGTTTTGTACTCTGAAAGTGGAGAGACATTGATTCTGTTCTCATAGACCCTTAAATAGAAACAATGATACTGGCTTTAAGGGCATAACATCTTTCACTTTTTGATGGGCTGAATTCTGCCTGTTGCAGCCATTTGGGGACCTTCTCTGATCTGCCATTCTAATAAAAAATAAAACTAAAAAAAAAAATCCAAAAAAATTTAGAACAAACTTAACAATCTTTGCTGCTTTTGATTTTGAGAGATAAAATGATCTTTGGAATGTACTTTAAACTCTGGAAGCACAATTGTCTTTATAATTTTTTCTGATCTTTTAGCAATTTTTGTAATCTAAAAATATTTTAAACATACCAAATTATTGAATTCCTTAGGGATTAAGCATTGAATTAAAAAAAAAAAAACTTATTTATTTGAAAGGCAGTTACGCCTTTCAAAGAGAGGGAGAGAGAGACAGAGGGAAGCCTTCTGTCTCCTGGTTTACTTGCCAAAAGGCCACAGTGGCTGTGGCTGGGCCAGGCCGAAGTGAGGAGCTGCTTCTTGGTCTATCACTTAGATTAAGGGGCCTAAGCATGTGGACCATCTTCTGCTGCCTTTCCCAGGCACATTTAGTAGGAAGCTGGATTAGAAGTGGAACAGCTGGGATGCAAACTGGTGACCATATGGGCTGCTCACACTCGGTGGTGGTTTAATCAGCTATGTCAGAACTCTGGCTCATAAGCTTGTGATTCTAAATTAACCAAAATATGTCATTGTAAGCACTGAAAGGAAAAAGTAAGAAAGCAGGGAGGGTGGGAGCATGGGCTGCAGGAATGGTAGGGTGACAAGTATCATGGAGCTCCTGAATCTGTGTATATGAAATACATGACATCTGTTTATGTTATATAAATAGATAAGTCTTTAAAGGGAAAAAGAATGAAGTAGTTTAATTTTAAGATTTATGTTTCAGGTAAAGACCAAATAATGTGGTTTGAGAAAAATATGAAGTATGATGAGATAAAAAATACTTTAACACCTTGTCAAAATTGTAGATATCTGTGCTACACTGTGGGCATTTACAGACGTAGATTCTGTAGTTTCTGGTCAGGCGATATATTTTCTCTGAAAGCCTTTAACCTTTATGATGGAAATAGCTTGTTTAGTACACAGCAGCTTATGGTGCACACAGCCGGCATGGCATCTAGCACCACCTACCGGCAAGGAGAGTTAGTTCTGTCAGAGTACAGTGACTGGAGACAGTGCATGCAGCCATAGGGTTTTTCTCTTTGAGAACCTGTTTCTATGGCAAATAAATATGATTTTTATATTTATTGATTTTGTGTCTCAGTATGTTTTTCATGAACCTCCAAGTATCATTTAATCACCTATTGTACATCTATATAGCTGAGATTTCATTTAGATAAGGAGGAACTTAGACAGTTTTATTGTTGTCATTCTGTCATTTACATAGAAATGTTAATTTGTTTGTTATAAGAATAAACCTGAAGCTGCCATGTTAAACTAATGTGAACAGTATTTAGTTTTTTCCTCTGTTTTGGTTTTATTAAGTGATACTTTATTTGACAGAGAGAAGTGGAACTGGTAGTAGAGTGAAAACTGCTCTCAATGACAAATTCTGGGAGACACGGTATAAACCTAAATTCTACTCTGTGTTTTACTTTACCTAGAACTGCTTATCTTGTTTGTCAGTAGCCTAAGGTCCTGTTTGTGTTCTGGTAGAGACTTCACTATTTGTTAAAGTTCTTTTTTTTTTGACTTGTTGGAGAGACAGGGTAACTACATCTTGTGCTTGCTGCAGCAGCCAGGACTGTGTCTGCCCAGAGCAGGAGCTTTGGGAGTTGGACCTGGGGCTGCCTGATGGGGGACTGGGATCTAGGGACTAGAGCATCATCTGTTGCCTTTCAGGGGACGCATCAGTGGCAGGCAGCTAGCTCCCAGGCACTTTGGACAGGAAGTGTGTGACTTAACCTGCTGTGCCACATTCCAGCTCCTGGAGTAACCTCTTTTTCTGGTCATTTTTTTTCTCTTTTATCCTAGTTTGCATGACTTAAATTGCCTGTTTATGTTCTTCGCCTATTTCTTAACTGGATTTTTTGTTGTTGTTAAGTTTCTTGAGTTTTTTATGTACACTGGATATTAATCCTTTATCAAGTGTATAAATTACAGTTTCTCCTGACAGAATAGGATTACATAGTTTGTGTTTTATAGAGAAGGATCAGGAGGCAATTGTGTTTTGCTCTGTGGCTATTTAACGCTAAATAAGTAAAAGAAGTAAGATTTTTTGGGAGTTAAGATGTTAGCTTGTAGATATACTTTAGAAATACCTATTAAATAGTATGAAGACTTATTTATTGAGAAATAGCAGTGATTACAAGTTTTATGTGCCTTGTCTCATAGTTGAATACAATGTCCAAGATGATTGTTTTGATAGTGTAAGTTTTTAACTACTGTTAAAGATAGGCTTAGTACAGGCAATGGAAATGAGTTGATTTTTTAAAAAAAGATTTATTTATTTTTATTACAAAGTCAGATATACAGAGAGGAGGAGAGACAGAGAGGAAGATCTTCCGTCCAATGAGTCACTCCCCAAGTGAGTGCAACGGCCGATGCTGTGCCGATCCAGAGCCAGGAGCCAGGAACTTCCTCCAGGTCTCCCATGTGGATACAGGGTCTCAAAGCATTGGGTTGTTCTCAACTGCTTTCCCAGGCTACAAGCAGGGAGCTGGATGGGAAGTGGAGCTGCCGGGATTAGAACTGGCACCCATATGGGATCCTGGGGCGTTCAAGGCGAGGACTTTAGCCTCTAGGCCACGCCACTGGGCCCCTGAGTTGATTTTTAATATGAATTACTGTTAAAGTGAAACAGAATCCTCCTTTCTTAATCTATAATAGAAAAAAATTGATTACTTAAGTTTAAGCAGCGTCTTGGAATGTAGTTCCATATTCAAGGAATAATTGTACAGAGACTCAAAATAGTATATGAACATGTAAAATTTTAAAGTAAAAAACCGTTTTAAAAGGCTTTTCTGTTTTCATGACAATTTTTTTAACGTATTTAAAGATTTATTTATTTGAAAGGCAGAGTTACAGAGAGTGAAAAACAGAGCAGTCATTAAGCCACTGGTTCACTTTATAAATGACCACCATGGCGGGGGCTGGGGCAGGCCAAAGCCAGGAATCTGGAACTCTGTCTGCATCTCCCATGTTGGTGGCAAAGGGGAGGATGGGGGAGGTACTTGGGCCACCTTCTTCTGCCTTTCCAAGTGCTTAGTAGGTAGCTGGATTGGAAGTGGATTTGAACTTGTGCCCATATGGATTGCTGGTGTTGCAGGTGGTGGCTTAGCTTGCTGTGCCACAATAGTGGCACCTCAAAGATCTTTTTATTTGCTCAGATAATTTATTCTTTGCTTTTCAAACTCTATCAACTGATGGAGTTTGTATGGTTTGTATTTTGTCTCCATATTGACTGCTAACAAATGATTTAATTCAGGGTTATTTTGCAACTTACTGAGATTTAGATTGAGAGGCAGCAAGAAGAATGGCTCCTGTGATCTAAAGACTGCTACAATTTGTTATGGGTATTACAGCATTTACATTATAAAGAAAAATTTATGAAGAGCTCTTTTGAGGCATAGAAACAAATTCTTTTAATTTTACAGAGCTACCATCAATCTATGCTCAGATTAAATAAGACAAACCCCCAAAGTGAATGGAAATGTATGATAGTATTTGAATGACTTCTTGGAGAGTTGGTGAATGGAGATGAAAAAGACAGGGTGGTATTGGCTATACAAACTATTACATCTTAAGTCAAAAGCAATATTTTGGCAAACAATATTTCATGATACTTTGGAGAATGTGCACGTGAATTGCAATAACATTCATAGCTATTTTAAAAATAGATATGATACTTTTTTCATGCTGAGTAGTTCATAACATCACTTTAGAAAGAAAGTATGTTCAACTTTCATCACAAAATCTTCAGAGTATTTTAAGAATGGAGAGAATAATGTGGTTTTCCCCAGTAAATCCTACTGTTACTATTTGAGCATAAGCTTAAAACAAAACAAAAAAATTAAAATAAATGATTCACCAGAGAAGGAGTGCATTATTCTTAAATAAGCCAATAATATTATTTGAGTAAGCAATTTATTTTATTTATTTGAAAGACAGTGTGAGAGGGAGGGAGGGAAGGAAAAAGGGAGGGGAAAAAAGAGAGAGAGAGAGAAAGAGAGAGAGAGAGATCTTTTCTGTTGCTTTATTTCACAAATGGCTGCAATAGCCAGGTTTGGATCATGCCTAAGCCAGGAGCCGGGAACTTCTTAGGTCTCCCACATGGGTGCAGAAACCCAAGCACGTGGGCTGTCCACGGCTTTCCCAGGCATGTTAGCAGGGAGCTGGACTGAAAGTGGAACAGCTGGATCTCAACTTTCACCCATATGGGATGCTGGTATCTCAGACGGCAGCTTTACCGGCTGTGCCACAGTGCTGGCCCAATCTTACAATCTTTCTTTTGTATGAAAAAAAATTTAAGACAAATCTGATTTCTGGTGAACCATCACCTGTCTTTATAGGTTGTTGTATGTGTCCTGCATGAAGGAGGTGTTGGTGAAGGAGGTATGGGTGAAGATGTTAGTGGGTTTGGAATGTAGCTCTTGACCAGTTAATAAAATTCCTTTTCTTTTAATTGATTTTCCTAGAAGGTGCTGAATAGTTAGAGTATCTTTACCTCTGGAAGTGATGATTAGCTCTGTTTTGTTAGATTGAGTTCAGCTCGAACTTCAAGAACAGAATTGGCCGGAGGAAGGTCCTGGTTCCTAGCCTTGAACTGGCCCAGCTTTGGCTGTTGGGACCATCTCTCCGTCTACTCCCAAACTCTTGTAACTCTGCCTTTCAAATAAACAAATAAATCTTTAAAGATTTTGTTTCATGGCTTTTCGTTTAAGGGAATATATAGTAACTGTGTAATAGAGACTGTCATATCCAGTTGTGAAGATACAATGCAGTATGCATCTCCCAAATCAGAGATGGACTCCCAATGAAATTGTTGGATATATGTTGACAATAGGATGCTGGACTGTCTGAGGTTGTCTATACCAGCAGTGTCAGGGCACACTTAAATAACAGAATGATGGACTTCTGACTGCTTATGAAGTACTATACTATTATAATAATATGGGGAAAATAAATTTGGGAGGAGGAAATTTGGGGAGGAGATAAGGGAAATCCCAGAGCCTATGGAATTGTACCATAAAATTAAAAATAAAATAGAAGAGGAAAAGAAAGTTGATTCCCTGCACAATCTGTACTTTCTTGAATCAAAATGCCAGGATTATATGGATAATACTGTATGTTGTGTTTTCACAAATTATTATTGCAGACAGACTAGATTTTTTTCTGCTTTCATTTACGTATTAAAAATATTTAAATTTTAATTTCAGGTATATTGTATTTTTTTGCCCATATGACCTAGTTTCGCACGGCTACTCATTCCTACCTATTCAACTACTGGCTGCGGGAATGAAGGAAGTGACCAGGACTTGGAAAATAGTAGGTGGAGTCACACATGCTAACAGCTATTACAAAAATGGCTGGCTGGTCATGATAGTTATTGGATGGGCCCGAGGTAAGATTAATAATATATATTCATAAATGCTCTGTTATTAGTATAGCACAACTAGTTGAACAATTCTCTCATTACTGTTAATGATGATCACTACTTCAATAACAAATCTTTATGTTAGGTGGAAACATTGTTTTTATTGGCTGGAAAAGTTAATTCAAAACTAATATTCTTCCATAATCTGAGTCGTCGTCATTATTTTGACTCTATCATATGGTAAATAAGTTTTATGGTTAAATTGATGATGAGCCCCACAACCAGTGCGATTCATAGTTAATTGTGAAATAGTGCTATCATAAATAAAACAAGTTTAAATAAGCAATTAGTAGTAGTCTGTATAATACAAAATTTTTTTTTCTGTTATTATTTCAATCTTGTATTATAGGACATAGTATATATACTTGGTTATGGGTTTTTATTCACATTGTGTTTCCTACCTTTCTTATTGTTTTATATGAAGAATTGAACAGATTTCTGTAACCCACATATTATATTGCATCTTAAACTAATCATATCAGTAAAGAAGATGACAGAGCAGAGGATTATGTTTTCTCGCCTGGAGCAAACCTCTGCCCTCTATAACCCTGAAGCCCCAGGGTTAACCTTAACCATGGTGTAACAGACAGTTGTCACGCTGTTGAAAGGAAAAATTATTAGCATCCTTCATATTTGAGGAAATTTTTTTCTCCTGCCCAAGAATTACATTATATTATGGAAATTGTCCAAAAAAGTGATCTTTTATCTTTTCTGTTTGTTTTTTAGGTGCAGGTGGTACTATTATCACAAATTTTGAACAGTTAATAAAAGGATATTGGAAACTGGAAAATGAGGAAGAATGGCTGAAGATGACCTAGTAAGTTGGTATAAATGATGTTGAGGTCTAGATTTTTATACTTAGATCTCACCAGATTTCTTTTAAAGAATATTTTGGGATTCTAGAAATAAAAGTTATGATGATGGTAAGAGAATTAGCACAATTGCACTGTCAAATGTAATTTTACCATAAATATTCTCTTCCCTGTGGGTTTCATTCTCTACAAACAAAACCAAAGGAAAGAGTCTGGGTTGTTACAGGCTCGTGAGAAGGGTGTGTGTATAGGCGCGTAGGAACGGACTTCTGCGGGTCAGTTATAGGCACGAGACAAAATCTGGCTGTGACATCACCCAGCTGGCAGATTATTATTCTGGTTGTAAAATGTCAAATTTATAGGAACAGTGTAATACTTTACCATAAATCCTATGAGTTCATTAAAAAGATGATTGTTTAACTTAATTATGTATCACAGTAAGAATAAGATTACAGGAAATAACTCACTCTGTGCTTGTATGATGCAAACTAATTTTGCATCTATTTAAGAGAATCTAATCATAGATATTCTCTAAAAACACTGCCACGATCTTAAGTTCTGGATATATGCCCTAAGATACACATACACACGAAATACAGAAATAGATCATTGTTTCCAAGTTTTAAGAAAGGAGAGTTAGAGATAGTCACTATAATATGTCAGGTGAGGAAAGACCTTGTAAGAATAAGCTCATTTTACCGGCCTGGTTGTAATAGCCTCATGGCTAAATCCTTGCTTTGGATGTACTGGAATGCCATAATGGCACCGGTTTGTATTCTGGCTGCTCCGCTTCCCATCTATATTCCTGCCTGTGGCCTGGCAAAGAAGTAGAGGATGGCCCAAAACTTGTGTGTGTGGGGGAGACCTGGAAGAAGCTCCTGGCTCCTGGCATCAGATTGGCTTAGCGCCAGCCTTTGCAGCCACTTGCAGAGTGAATCAGCAGAAAGATCTTCCTTTGTTTCTCCTCCTCTCTGTATATCTGATTTTTAATAAAAAGGAATCTCATTTTGTAATTAAAATCAGATTATAAAGGGATTAAATATGAAAGTTGGGAAGCAGTATGAATGAGGAAGAAGGCTGAAATTTGGTATGTTTGTCTGGAAAGTGTGCCTTAAAGCTTGAATGAGATAGTTTAGAACTAGGACTATAAAGTTGCAGTTCATGTTTAAAACCAGAAATTCACACACAATAGAGCTCAGCTTGAAAGAAGCTTTATTGAGAGCACTCCCAGGTGAGGGTCACTGGTCTGGTACAGAGAGTGGGCCAGGGAAGTTGTGCCCAGGGGACATGAGAAGTCGTTTTTATTAGGGGGCTGAAAAGGTGGGGGTTGGACAAAGGGATGTGCCTTGTAAGGTGCTAGGGTGTAATGGGCTTCCTTCGGCCTTGGTGGTCCCTCCACTGCTGCCTGAGGAGGCAGCTGCCTTCTCCTCACCCTTCTCAGCCTCCTCCTAGGCTGCCACTCACCCACCCCGGCTGGGCCTTCCAAGGACAAAGGGAACCTTTTGATGATTGGCATATTAGCAGTTTTCATGGAAAGTTTTCCTCCTTTTGAAATTTTCGAAAATTTTCCTCCTCACTGCCCTAGCCACCAATTCCTTGTGGCCCCTCCCCCTAGTAGCTACCTACCACCACATCTACGATTCACTACAACCCTGATGTTCCTAACCACCAATCCCACACAGCCCTGATGGTCCTAGCCACCAATCCCGCACAGCCCTGATGGTCCTAGCCACCAATCCCGCACAGCCCTGATGGTCCTAGCCACCAATCCCGCACAGCCCTGATGGTCCTAGCCAGCAATCCCGCACAGCCCTGATGGTCCTAGGCAGCAATCCCGCACAGCCCTGATGGTCCTAGCCAGCAATCCCGCACAGCCCTGATGGTCCTAGCCAGCAATCCCGCACAGCCCTGATGGTCCTAGCCACCAATCCCGCACAGCCCTGATGGTCCTAGCCACCAATCCCGCACAGCCCTGTGTTACCTGCCCCAGACATAAAGTTTGTGCCTCTTCCTTTTGGCTCTCTCTCTCTTCCCTTGGACCCTTTCCTGTCATTATGGCTGGAGATGACTCTCTCTCTTTCTCTCTCTCTCTTCCTTTCTCTCTCTCCTTCTTTCTCTCTCTCTCTGCCTTCATTCCCTTGTTCCAGCCACCTTTCCCTGTGCTGCATAGAGACCTCCTGCATGACTTGCTGGGTCTGGTGTCGGGTTAATGGTGAAAATTCCTAACAAAAAACATGTTTTTTCCCTTTGTTCAAAATCTTGTAGAATGACAGGCATTTGGTGCAGCAGTTAAGCTGCCTTTTGGGACACCCACCGTCTGTAGTGGAGTGCTTGGCTCAAGTACTGGCTCTGCCTCTGATTCCGGCTTTGTGTCTGGAGGAACCCTGGGAGGCAGTAGGCCCGCATAGTTAAGTCCCTGCCACCTGTGTGAATGACCTAGATTGAGTTACTTAGACCTAGCTCTGGCCTGGCTTAGTTTTGTCTGTTGCTGGCATTAGTGAAGTGAACCAGCAGGCAGAAGCTGTTTTTCTGAATCTCATTCTTTTTTTTTTCTCTCCTTCCACCTCTGAAATAAATAAATTTTTAAGAACGAAGTCTTGGGTCTGGCGCGATAACCTGGTAGCTAAATCCTTGCCTTGCATTTGCCAGGATCCCATATGGGTACAGGTTCCTATCCTGGCTGCTTCACTTCCTGTCCCTGATTGTGGCCTGGGAAAGCAATAGAAGACAGCCCAAAGCCTTTTGACTCTGCAGCCTCATGGGAGACCTGGAAGAGGCTCCTGACTCCTGACTTTGGATCAGCTCAGCTCTGGCCATTGCAGCTTCTTGGGGGGTGAATCAGCAATGGAAGATCTTTCTCTCTGTATCTCCTTCTTTCTGTGTATCTACCTTTCCAATAAAAACAGAAAATAAATAAAATAAATCTTTAAAAAAAATCCACTAAATCTTGCAGTGACTTCACCAAGTGGCTTTAAGGCCTTCTAAACCTGCTTCTCTCCAATATAACTTGCTTTGATTTTTTTTTAAAATCTTACAATTATAGCCTTTCCTCACTCAGATCTTGAGAAACCCAGATGTGGTTTGGTTTAGTACTAGCCTTTCTCTTTTGCCTAATTGTCTAAAATCTTTTTGTCAGATGGCAACTACCTTATTTAGTTTTCTCCAAGTATTTTCTTAGTACTTCCTTTCCCAGGACCACCGAGGCTTAAATTTTAACACCTCCCTCTTTTTTCTTTTTCCTCAGCATTTATCACCTTCAGATATATTTTACAATTTACTTGTTCACTAAGTTTTTCCTTTCTATTATCTCTACTCTTCATAGAATATAAAGCTCCAAGGACAAGGATTTTTGTCTATTTTTCTAGGTGTCCCAAGCACCTGGCACCCAGTAGGTAAATAATACATGTTAGATGAAAGAATGAAGGGTCAACTGTGGGTCAGGTTAGGGTTCATTGTTGTCCCAGCACCATTTATTGAAATGACTGTTTTACTTCCTCATTGAATAGACTTTCCACCCTGTGAAAAACCAACTGACCAGAAGGAGATGTATTTATTTCTGGACTATCTATTCTGTCACCTTGGTCTATGTGTTTGTTCATGTGCCAGCAACATGCCGTTTGATTTTTGTAGTTTGTGGCCTTGTTCTTTCTTTTTTTTTCTAAGTTTGTTTTGGTTAATCAGGACCCCATGTGAATTTGATTGATCTTTTCATCTGCAAACAAACGTTGTTGAAATTTTGATAAAGGTTGCATTAACTCTAAAGATTGCTTTGGGTAGTATGATCATCTTAACAATGTCAATTCCTATAATATGTAAGAATGGGATATCTTTCCATTTAAATCTTTAATGTCTTTTAGTAGTGTTTTATAGTTTCTGTCTGTACAGGTCTTCTACTTCCTTGGCTAAATTTATTTCTTTGTATTTTAGTTCTTCTAGATGTTATCAGAAGTAGAATTATTTTCCTGATTCCCTTTTGAGATTGTTTATTATCGGTTCATTTAAGAAAATTAATTTTATCAAAAACAGAGGGCCTCCTGCTTCAGTTCCCCTCACAGTGGCACAAGGTTCATTTTCCACCTTGCAGGCTCCCAGGGAACCAGAGAGACACTAGTTCCAGTTGAGTGACTGGGACATGAGAAAGTGGGGACAAGAGACATTGCTGCGTTTTGTGCCCCCTCTATCTGATGTCCATTAGACTATGGCCAGACTATTTTTTTGGGAAGGGGTTTATTTCTGCCTGGGAAACCTTGCTGTTAGTTCTCAGTCACTACAGTTACACGTGTATATTAGTTATGAATTAACTGGCAAATATTTATTAAAGTGCCTTAAAGTATCTTTTTTGAATAATTGGGAATATGTAATCAAAAATCTTTACAGATCACTGATTTCAAATGGATTACCCAGACATATTGTTAAAGTCCAAACCCATTTCCCAAATTTAACCCTGTTTTGAATTTAGTGTTTAACTTTTAACAACTGAACATCTTAGTTGTAATAAGTGGCTTATTGCGGCATTTAAAATATTTTATAATATTTACAATGTTATATTTTGCAGTGTGGCATTCTAAGGATTTATCACTTATCTTTTTCTATTTGTAGGTGTAGTGAGCTAGACACTGGTCCTTTACTGAACTATATGAGGGTACTTCAAAAAGTTTGTGAAGAAATGGAATTAAAAGTAAGTTTAAATTGGTGCAAAAATTTTGAAATCATGTATAGTTTTTTTCAGAATATTCATAGATTTCAAAATTTTTTGAGCCTTTAAGATTATCTGCCCTTTTAATTTCACCTTTAATGAACTTTTTGAAGTAACCTTATAGTTTAAAAATGTACCAAGTGTTGCAATAGTGTAATCCTTCACAAGGAGTCATAATTTCATCAGCCTGTTTTTTAAGTGTGATATGGGGAAAATCAGTCAGGGGGTGGGAGTTTAGCAGGGGAAATCCTAGACTCTGTGGAACTGTACAATAAAATTCAAAATTCGAAAGAAATGTACCAAGCAAATAACATGGTAGTGTATTTCTCACTTAGTAAATGGACATTTTATTATATCCGTTGTATCTTTGTCGCTAAGGCATTAGGAAAAGCTTTTATGCTGTGCTGGAGTTAGCTAACTGATTTGCTAGAACTGGCTCATATTGTTTTACGAAAGCCAGTTCTCTGCGTTTCTTCGTCACTTGGTGCAGCAGCAGAAACAGGTTCTAACGAGTGTATTTGCACCACGGTCACAGACAAATGCTACAGACGTGGGCGCTCTTTTCCTTATAACATCCCACCCTGGTAACCTATTTAGCATTGTGAACTATTTTAAGACTAATTCCAAATTGTGCTGTGGAATATGAAACTTTTAAATTCATTGTGAAGAGGTGTGATTTGGCCCAGTGTGTTTCAGAAGTATTGTAAAGGAAGACACGCTCAGTGTCAGCATTCTAAACTTGCTAGTATATTTTGCTTTGAAGAAATATATGTAACTTTGTATACCTTATCATTTCTCAAAGTTGCTAAATTTTTGTTATTATGTCTGTTAACAACCCATCAACTTGGTGTTTTATAGATATAGACCATGTTTATGATTTTTCTGACTTAAAATATGTTTAATTTTTAGCCCTTCTAAGGTAACCCTTCTGGGATCAGTCATCTTCACGTTCCAGCATACCAAACATCTGGCAATATCTAAGCATAATCTGATGTTCCTTTATACCATCTTTCTTGTGACCACAAAGGTAAGGTTTCTTTTTTTATTTTAAAAGATTTATTTATTTCCATTACAAAGCCAGATGAACAGAGAGGAGGAGAGAAAGAGAGGAAGATCTTCCGTCCGTTGACTCACTCCTCAAGTGAGTGCAACGGCCGGTGCTATGCCGATCTGAAGCCAGCAGCCAGGAACCTCTTCCGGGTCTCCCGCACGGGTGCAGGGTCCCAAAGCTTTGGGCCGTCCTTGACTGCTTTCACACTTCACAAGCAGGGAGCTGGATGGGAAGTGGAGCTGCCGGAATTAGAACCAGCGCCCATAAGGGATCCTGGTGTGTTCAAGGCAAGGACTTTAGCTGCTAGGCCACGGTGCTGGGCCCAAAGAGTTCTAAGTGCCTATAACTCAGAATTACAGTCTGTAATCCAGATTCCCTTCGGATAGAACACTGCTCACTGTGAAAATACTAGGAATCTTTATTTTTTATTGCAGTGAAGGAATTTTTTAAATGTATACCCTACTTTTAAACCTTATAAAAGTAAGCACTAAGTTTGCTTTATTAATCAGTAGAATAAGTGTCCCTGCTGCATGTAGCTGGTTTGTAATACGATCAAAATGTTATTTTGCAGGTCTCTGTAGAGTGAACTCTTCCAACACTTGTTTATTTAGGTATACACTAGCAATAAACATTTACTCACTGTTTTGAAAAGAACAATGGTAAAATTTTAAAGTCTAAGATTTTAATTTATTGGACTCATTTAGGTAGATAATTATTGATAATGAATGATACCACCTTATAGGTAACATAAGAATTGATAAAGATCTTTGGTCAGGGCTGATTGTCAGGCAATCAGGTGAGTCACTGGAGACATTGGTGGAAGTTTAATAGTGTGTACACTTCAGTTGTACTAACTGTAAAGGATTATTTGAATTTGAGCAGATGAAGACAGGAAGATATGTGTGTTCTGGGCAGAGAGATTCATCATGCACATTTTTCTTACCTAGTGTAGATGTGTTGTAGTTGTGTTTAAAATTTTCATCTGCGGAAGATGTTATATCTATTCCTCATTCATTGTACCCTCATGGTAGGTCCTAAAGGAGATATAAAAGTAGGAACCAGTGATGGCTCAGTGGCTAAAGCCTCACCTTGCATCCACTGGGTTCCCATATGGGCACTGGCTTGTGTCCTGGCTACTCCATTTCCCATTTAGTTCTCTGCTTGTGGCCTGGGAAAGTAGTTGAGCACAGCCCAAAGCCTTGGGACCCAGCACCTGTGTGGGAGACACAGAAGAGATTCCTGGTTCTTGACTTAGGATCAACTCAGCTCCAGCTGTTGTGGCCACCTGGGAAGTGAATTGATGGATGAAGGTCTGTTTGTATCTCCTTCTCTCTGTAAATCCAATTTAAAAAAATGCCTTTCCAGTAAAAATAAATATTTTAAAAAGTGTGAAGTACCTTTTATTCCCTAAGGAATTTATGTTATGTGACATACTCTTCTTTGTGTTTGAAATGTTAACTGGTGATTTTATATAAAGAGTGTAACAGAGTTTTAAATATTTTGTTTGCCTGAATTTATAGTTTGAAATATGTTGGAAAAACGGTTCTCTTGACTATTTCTACTTTTTCCCCCTTCTTGGTAAAATCAAAAAACACAAAGCTCAATGCTATTTAGTTTAGTTTGATGCTTTATATATTTTGTTAAATGAGGAGATAATTTTATATTTAATTTGCAAAAGAAAATAGGAGTTTATTCTGTTTTTCACAATAACATTTCTGTCACCTTGGTAAGTCAAAATTGATAAGAGCCTGACTTCTAAAACTATTTTTTGAATGTTTTAGTTCTATTTCAGCAGTAATTTCTGATGCCAGTAATACTTTAAGCCAGTGATAAGCTTGTAGGGAATGGAGCTTTCACTAAAGCACTGGATTTCTTTTTTTTTCTTTCCTTCTTCTTATTTATTTATTTTTTTTTGCTAAGATTTGTTTTTATTGGAAAGGTAGTTTTACAGAAAAGAGAGATAGACAGAAAGATCCTTTATTCACTGGTTCTTTCCCCAAATGGCTGCAGTAGCTGGAGCTGAGCCAGTCTAATGCCAGGAGCATCTTCTGGGTCTCCCATGTGTGTGCAGGGTCCCAAAGCTTTGGGCCATCCTATAGTGCTTTCCAACAAGCAGGGAGCTGGATGCGAAGTGGAGCAGCCAGGACTTGAACCGGAACTCATATGGGATGCCGCCACTTGAAGGTGGAGGATTCGCTGGTTGAGCGATCAAGTTGGCCCCAAAGCACTTTGAAAACTACCAGTACATTTTCTTATAAGATATCTTAAACTGACATTTGTCTCTTTTGGATTTTGTAAAAGGATGTAAGATGTTGGCATTTTTTTTTTTCTGACAAAGGAGTGTTGTTTTTGATTTGAACTATTTTCTCTCTCTCTCTCTCTTTTTTTAGCAGTCAATTAAATGAAGCTAGGACCAAGATAAGAATGCCAGTATCTCACTGTTGCCATTTATTCTAAGGAGTAATTTAGTAGGGGAAAGTTCTTAGATCTTTGCTAGTATCAGCATAAACTCAAAGGTCAATTTTATGTTCAACTCTTTCTATTCTGTCTTCTCTCCAAGTGACTATATTTATATTTGTGTCTTTATGGTTATGTATATGGTCATGCCTTTCATATCCGTATCTCTCACTTGAGTGTTTCTGGACCAACCTCTATCATTGCACTTAGTCTTCACTGTCTGTTAACTGCTGATTTACTTTCCTGTCTCCAGATAGCCAATCAGTAACGTCCTTGAAGGGAGGACTGTGTTGAACTTTATTCTGGCAGCTAAGTGTGATGGAGTAACACATTATTTCAATCCTTTTGTTGGTTGGTTTTGATCTTTGTTGGTAGTATTCTATTTTAGGTTTGGGGTCTCAGCCTCAGCCTGAGGGATATCCCTGGGAAGTTCAGCACGTTTGTGCTGGTTCTCAGAAGCTGGTTCCTGAAGCATCTACCTCGGGCTCTTGGTTGTCTGAATTGGTGATCTTTACTTTGCATTTGAATTTTCTTCCTCCTTATGTACATTATATATCAAGGTTACTGAACTCTTCCAGGGCATACTACCATGAATTTTTGACTCATTTCCAAATGTTTTCTTCCTCTTTGGGCTTTACTGCCTTCAAATTTTCAGTTAGTTTTGTCAGATACCGCCTTATCTCAATAGCCCATGGAATTTCTGCTTCCTGTTCCCTATGATTTGGCACATTTTCCTGGAAAAAAAAGCCTTGGTGAATGTGGAGCTCACTCTACTCATTTCTTTTCTCTTAGGGATAGTAGCCTTCTCAGTGTCTGCCTCTATTGCTTGTTCTTCAGCACTTTTCAGAAGTTTTGTGTAGTTGTGTCTTTTGTATTGGCCCTGGCGAAAGACTGAGGGCCATATGAAATCCTGGGTTATGTATATGTATTACATTTCTTTTTATTGGGGTCAGATTCATGTACTACAATTAGTTGTGAACAATGTACTTTGGAGCCAGCTTTGTAACACAATGGTTAAGCCGATCTTTGTGATGCTGGCATCCCAAATTGGAGCATCGTGAGTCCCAGCTGTTCTGCGTCTGGTCCAGATCCCTGTTCCTGTGCCTGGGAAAGCCCAGAAGATGGCCTGTGTGCTTGGGCTCCTGGCTTTGTCCTGAGTCGACGCTGGCCATTGCAGCCATCAGGGAGTGAACAGCAAATGGAAGAGCACTTTTCCTCTTTCTGCCTTTCATAAAAAAATACACTCAATCTTAAGATGATGCTGTTCAAAAATAAATAAGAAATGTATTATTTTAATAGTGTATTTAATAATAAATGACAAGTATATTAGTGACATGTAGTGCTTTGACAGCTTTACATGAATATGAATTTTAATTTATGTGCATTAGGGTACTTTGTAACTCTTGTTCTGGTCTCATTCTACTTAGCAGTATGTAGTAAGACGTTTTCCCTGTGGATTATTTTTAACTGTTACCTTTTATGCATTGTACTTAACTTTCTTCTAATAGATATCTGCTTTTTCTGCAATTCCCTTTAAAAACCTTTTAGAGTCAGTATCTGTTAGCTGGAGGAAATGGCTCCTGGAAATACTTAGACTTTTTACTGTTTTGGACCTTAAAGTTCTCCCACTCAGATCCATTCTGATATTAATTTCTTGAGCAAATCTGAACGTCTCTGAACATGGCGTTGTCAGATAAAGAACTGGGAGTGCTCTATACTCTACCTCTTGATGACTTGATTGCATATATAAAAATTATAGGTGGGAAAATTATAGGTGGGATGATAGATTTCTACAGTACCTCTTAGGGACAGTACTTTGTGGTTCCTTGAGTTTGTGAATTTTTTTAAAAAGATTTATTTTTATTATTTTTTTTATTGGAAAGTCAGAATTACTGAAAGAAGGAGAGTCAGAAAAAGTTCTTTCATTTGCTAGTTCACTCCCCAAGTGGTCACAATGGCCAAAGCTGAGATGATCCGAAGCCAGGAGCCTGCTCAGGGTCTTCCACAGGGGCTTAGGATCCCAAGGCTTTGGGCCATTCAGTGGAGCTTCCGTGATATGAACCGACATCCACATGGGATGGCATCCTGGGCAGGCAAGGCGAAGATTTTGGGCACTAGGCTACCACACCAGGCCTGCTGTATGCTTTTTTTTTTTGTAAAGAGTCACATTTATAATTGTATCAAAAAAAATTAAATACTTAGGAATAATTCTGACCAAGAACATAGGGGTTTTAACAGCATAAACTCTAAAACATTGATGACAGAAATCAGAGCAGTTACAAACAAATGTAAAGAAACTCCATGTTCATATAGTAGGAAACATTGTTAAGTGAACAGTAATTATAATATATACTTTATGGGTTCTAACAGCATTCCGTCATCATTTAAGAGAAACAGAAAAAATATTTAAAAATTCATGTGGAACCACCTAGGACCCCAAATTTATTTACTTATTCCTTTTGTCCCTAATTTCTGGAAGGATTTGTATTTTTTTTCTGAATTTAATTAAGTATATTTTAGCTCCATTTCTTTTCTTTTTTTTTTTTTCTTTTAAACTTAACAGTTTATACTATTCAAGGAAGATTTTACAGAACTTCAGGCATTCTAGGGTAATGTGTAGGGTAATGAGTTCAGCTGGGGTCTGGTGCCAGTGGGGCCTGACAGCCTAATGGCTAAATCCTCGCCTTGCTTGTGGTGGGATCCCATATGAGTACCAGTTCATGTTCCATTGACCCCACTTCCTATCCAGCTCCCTGCTTGTGGCCTAGGAAAGCAATGCAGGATGGACTAAAGCCTTGGGACCCTGCACCCATGTGGGAGACCCAGAAGTTCTTGGCTCCTGGCTTACGGCTGGCACAGGTCTAGCTGTTGCAATCACTTTGGGAGTGAATCAGCAGACAGAAGATCTTTCTCTCTGTCTCTCCTCCTCTCAGTAATTCTGCCTTTCCAATAAAAATAAATCTTAAAAGTCGAGTTGAAATCTGAGTGTTGCAAACTGCTTTACAACTTACTGCTTTGTATATTTGGACAAATTATTTAACCTTTTAACACTGATTTCACATCCCTATGATGAGTGTAACAATAAAAAACTTGTTGGATTAAATTAAATAATATGAAGCATTTATAGCATAGTACTTGTATGTGAAGTGCATATAATGATACCTGTATTGGTCATTTGGTGTAGACAGTAGATAACATTTTATCTATTTTCTTTGAATATTTAATATATTTTTGTGGAGATGGTTATATTGCTCATTTGGCACCTAAAATGGGGTATTTAAAAATTGTTTTTAATAAGTATTTTTTTTTACTTCTAAATGTAAGTTCATAGAGAGCAAAAATTGTTCAAGAACTTGCTTTTGTGTGGATTATGAATGCAATGTGAATCCTGTTTTTATTTACTTTTCTCTCTCAGTATTGAGAAATAGAAAGCATTTGTACTGAAATTCCAACTGAACTCTTTCCCCCCAGTTAACCATGATGATTACAGAGACTTCGAGCGTGACTCTCGCCCCCTTTGAGGATACGTTGAGTCGGATGCTGTTTGGCTGGCAGCAGCAGTTTTCCTTTGAGAAGAAAAGTGAAACCAAACCATCTTCCAATGGCACTGGGTCATCAGCCTCAAAACCTGTAGCTGAGGCTTCAGATCCTGTGAAAAAGAAACATAATAAGAAGACTGAGTAAATGTCCTTGGTGAATTCTAAAAGAAAAAAAATTTTTTTCTTATCTACCTACCAGATTGTGATAATATTTCTAGGTGAATAATGTGAAATAAAGATTACGTGTGAAGAATGGAGGTGAGAAAAAGGAAGAAATTCTTTCTGTTTCAAGGTGTCTAGCTTTTTCTGGATTGTATTTTTCAATGTTGAGAGTTATATAATGTGAATTTGTTTTAGTGATGTAGGAATTCTGTTTTGTGATTATTTGAATAGATTTATATTGATTGAAGAAGACTATATTTTAGAAAAGTGATAGAAAAGATATCTATCATTTCAAAAGAAAAATTTTAAGCTTTAAAGAATTTAGAGATTTTCATACATATTGTTAATTTAAATGTGTTTGAGCTTTAATGCAATAGAATTAAATGTTTATTTAATTTTACCATTGTAATTTTTAAGTATGGCAATTCCTATTTAATTTAGAAAATGACTAAACTTTTTCTAAAACACTTTGTTTATTATAAATGTAAATAAATTACTGGTTTGTATTTCAAATGCGAGCGTTGCCTTTTTTACCCATATTAGGAGAAAAACATTTGCAGTCTTGTTTAATTATGTTTCTAGTATTACTTTTAATTAAAGACAAAATATTAACATGGATTTTAATCCAAAGACCTTTTATGTACTTGTTTTTTCAAAACTGGGTATTTTTTTTCCTCCAAAAGAATGTAATTTTTAATACATTAGCAGTACATCCATGTTTCCTTTTAGGGTTGTAGCTTATTCCCTCTCCTTAAATAATACTTGTTTTAATGTGGCTGAGATTTTTCCGGATTTCACATGTTCTTTCTGATCTTTCAGATCAGTGGGTCTGAGTGCGTTGACGATTCAGCAGAAAGTATTAGCTGAATTAAATAATTCTCCTTTTCTGTTCCTCTCTAGGAGCTACTTTCTTTTTTCAGTTTTCTAGTTGAACATCTCTTCCTAGCTTATGTGTAGCTATATTACACTTTAATCTACATGCTCATATATTATTATTTTAAGCTGCAGACACCAATTCATTAAAATTTACTTCAAATCATAAATTCATTGGTCAAGTGGAATGTTGGAGATGGGATAATACGGTCTAGAATGTTCACCATCCCCTCCTCCCCATGTAAAGCCTTTATAGTGTTTGCCCTCCAGTGTAAATTCATCTTTGATGATAATGTATGTACATTTGTTTATTCAGTGAATGTCCTGTAATGTCAGCCGTTCTAGGAACAAGAACTACAGGAAACAAAGAAGGCCAGCTCTCTTGGAGTTTATATTCTAGTGGTGGAAAGATGTAAAACAAATATGTTCTTGTGATAATAAAGACTGTGAATAAGTATTAAGCAAGACATAAGGCTAAGAAAGTGAGGAGTGTGGGAGTGTTTGCTTTTTTTGTAAAAACTGCATTTTAGTCATGTAGCCATTTGGTTAAGTGGAAGGGTCATATTGTTCCTTTATATATTTGGACATGTTTCACAAAATTAATTTTCTTCACTGTTTTTTCTCTTTTGAGTTTGAGTTTGCATGCAACAAAATGCACTGTTCACTAGTGTGAGGACTCTGAGTTTTGACACGTGCACATAATCATATTACCTCAAATCCTAACTATAAATGTAAGCAGACACGCCAAGAAGTTACTCCTTTTTCCCACTGAACTTATTATAAATAGAATCAGGATATGTATTCTCTTCTGTGTATACTTCTTTCAGACTCAGCTTACTGTTTTTTGAATTCATCCACAATGTTGCATTTATTTCATTTTAATTGCTTTATAAAATTCTACTGTATGATTATGTTATCATTTACTCATTTTATTCATGTCTATCTAGTCTGGGGTGTTTCAAATGGAGTAAAATAAATTCTTTTGTTCAAATGGGGAACAGATAACTGGGAAAGACATATTAGTGTACATGTGGTTTGATAAAAAACTGTTCAATTGTTTTCCCAAAGTGATTGTATTATTTTATACTCCAGAATAATGTCCATGATGTCTGAGAGTTCAAGTTGCTCTACATCCTTACCAAGCATTAATGTTGCCAAACATCTTAATCCCATCTGTTTCTAGTGGATGATTTGTGGTTTTTATGATTTTAATTTGTGTCTCCCTGGTGATTAACGAGATAGAACATTTTTTCCCCTGTGCATTTTGGCTATTTGTACGTCATTCTCTGTGAAATGTCTGTTCTGATCTTTATTCATATATTTTGGATTTGCTGTATATTGTTAAGTTGTAGGAGTTCTTTATATATATTGAGTATCTATCCTTTGATAAATACTGACTTTCTGGACAGTATTTTCAACTCTGGCATTTCGTATGAGCACTGGTTTGAGTCCTGGCTATTCCACTTCCAGTCAGTTTCTCTGCTAATGCTCCAGGGAAAGCAGTGAAAGGTGACACAAGTGTTTGGGCCCCTAAACCCACGTGGGAGAGCCGGATGAAGCTCCTGGCTTTAACCCCTTTTTAGCCATCTGGGGCAGTCAACCAGCAAATGGAAGATATGCCTCTTTCTCTCTCTCACCATTTCTATAAGTGTGCCTTTCAAATAAATACATCTTTTTTTTTTTAAAGTTTTTTTTAAGTGATGATTTAATGAGCAGAGAATTTTAACTTTGAAGAAGTTCTATTTCCCAATATTTCCTTTTATGCTATTACTTTCTCTGTCTTAAGAAATCTTTGTCCACTTCTGAGTTGGGAAGGTAAATACCAATCTGAGGAATTCCAAATAAAAGAGGACTTGGGGAAACGCCTTGAAGAGAAATACTGTGTTGTTAGTTGAAGCCCAGTAAGTGTGTTAGTCCTGCTTTTTGCATCCGCCTCTTGAAGATCAGCATGTGTTTATTTAGAATGGTCGCCTTTTCTGTATTTGTATTTGTGCTGCAAGCTTTTCTTGTGCTGTAGGCTTTTCTGTTTCAGCCTATGCAGGGATTTGATTTGGGCAGGATTCATTTTGGTTTAATACAACTCTGCTGTGAAAAAGATAAATAAGAATGTGATAATAGCAGATTCTTTATTTAAAAAAATTAGATTTATTTATTTTTATTGGAAAGGTTTACAGAGAGAAGGAGAGACAAAGATCTTCCATCTGCTGATTCACTCCCAAGTGGCCTCAGCAGCCTAAGCTGAGCTGATGCAAAGCCAGGAACCAGGAGTTTCTTCTGGGTCTCCCATGCAGGTACAGGGTGCCAAGGCTTTGGGCCATCCTTGACTCTTGACTAGGCTGCTGCACCAGGCTCAATAGCAGGTACTTTAAAAATCAAGTCAAGGGCCTGGCGCGGTGGCCCAAGTGGTTAAGGTCCTCGCCTTGCATGCCCGGGATCCCATATGGGCGCCGGTTCTATCCTGGCAGCCCCACTTCCCTTCCAGCTCCCTGCCTGTGGCCTGGCAAAGCAGTCAAGGACGGCCCAAAGCTTTGGTACCCTGCGCCCGGGTGGGAGACCCAGAAGTCTCTTGGCTTTGGACCGGCATAGCATCGGCCGTTGCGCTCACTTGGGGAGTGAATTATCGGACGGAAGATCTTCCTCTCTGTTTCTCCTCTCTGTATATCCGCCTTTCCAATAAAAAAAAAATCAAGTAAAGAGTAATAAATTCAGTATAGATATCAGGTTACCACAGAGTAGCCTATACTGAATCATAGAATGCAAGTGCATATTTGTAGAAGATGGACTAACCATCTGGTGTGCACACAAATAGACCCCTGGTGAATTTATATGGCAGACTGTCAGGTGATCCATGACATTAAAAAGTTACATGATAGGAACTGGGCATGGTAGCCTAGTGGCAAAAGTCCTCTCCTTGTAGGCACTGGGATCTCATATTGGTGCTGATTCATGTCACAGCCGCCCCAGTTCCTTTCCAGCTCCCTGCTTGTGGCCTGGGAAAGCAGTTGAGGACAGCCCAAAGTCTTGGGACCCTGCATCCACGTAGGAGACCCAGAGGAGGATCTGGGTTCCTGGCTTTGTACTGGCTCAGCTCTGGCCATTGTGGCCACTTGGGGAGTAAATCAGTGAACTGAAGATCTTCCTCTCTGTCTTTCCTCTTCTCTGTATATATGACTTTCCAATAAATATAAATAAATGTTAAAAAATGTTACATGGTACATATAAAAATGCCTATATTAAATAGAATCGAGAATTAAGTAAGGTGATTTAGATTGGGTAAAATGAGGGAGGATTCCCCTTGGGGAAATTTAGTAATTTAAGATATTTCTTCTTTCTCTATCATCTTTGTTTTATTTCCCTCTTCTTCCCCAATCTGCTTTCCTCCATTTCGCTATATTATTATGATAGTGTAATCTTTAAAAAGTCCTAAGTCCATCATTCTGTTTAACTGTATCCTGACATTTTAGATATAAACAGTGGCAGAAAAGTCCAGCATCCTATTGTCAAGATAGGTTTAACTGTTTCATGGGGAGTCTGTCTTTGATTTGGAAGTAGAAATGCATGCTATACTGTATCTTTACTTGATATGATAGTTCCTTTAGATGCCTATATGTACCTGCATGCTTACCTGCATATCTACTGAGCTCATATTTTTCATGAAGGTTGGCTTATATGAGAGAGAACATAGAATGTTTGTTCTTTTGGGATTGGCTTATTTCAATGAGCATGATGGTCTCTAGATGAGACCTTTTTTTTTTTTTTTTTTGCAAATGGTAGAATTTCATTCTTTTTAATGGCTGAGTTGTGTTCTATAGAGTAGATGTTCCCAGTTTCTTTGTCCATTCCTCTTGTGACAGGCTTCTTGGAATTAAATAAAAACCACATTGAGGTTCCTCCTAACTGCAATGACATTGGCTTACAGTCAGAACTCCCCTAACAACGCCTGCTGGTGTGGATGTGGGGAAAAGGTACTCTTCTTCACTGTTGGGAGTGTAGGCTGGTACCATCACTGTGGAAGTCAGTATGGAGAGTGCCAAGAGAACTGAAAATTGATCTGCCGTATGATAGGTATCCCACTCCTGGGAACATACTCAAAGAAAATGAAACCTGCATGTGAGAAAGGAATCTGTAATCCTCTATTTACAGCAGCACAATCTACAATAGTGAAGACATAGAAACAATCTCTCTCATCTTTTCAGATTTATTTGAAGAAAGAATTCCAGGG